GCACGTGGAGGGGGCGGTACCGCCCGGTGTGATGACGTCATGTCACCCACCAAGTGTGTTATGACGTGACCGAGTGTGTGTGAACCGGCGGCCATGTTGGCTAGGGGCGGGTGGAAGGGGAGCATGCGTGATGACGTCACGTATACGGGGGGGTTGTCTAATGACGTCATGTACACGGGTGTGTGTGGTGACGTCACCGAGCGTGTGTGTGACCGGTGGGATGGCGGGGGGGGTGGCAGAGAGAGGAGCCATGTGTGCTGACGTCACGCTGTCTCGTTTGCGCGACAACGTCACGTCACCAAGTTTTCGCGAGCAACGTCACGCCACCGAGTGTGCGCGATGATGTGACGTCACCGAGTGTGCGCGATGACGTCACGTCACCGAGTAATGTGTGTCTGTGTGTGTGTGGGGAGCGGTGGCTCCAGTTTAACAGCAGAGGTCTCACTCCCAATCAGTCGAGCGGCAATATCTTTTCATCGGTTGCGTAACGCTTTGTGGAAGCTACCTGGTCTGTCGCTCCGCACTAAGCTTCAGGTCTTCTCGGCCACGGTCATTCCCTCCCTTCTCTACGCTTGCGAAACATGGACCCCCCTAATGGAACATCTTCGCCGGTTAGAAACATTTAGATTGGCCTGCCTACGATCCATCCTGGGTTTAACCAGACTGGATTGTGTGAGGAGCTCACAAATCCTTGAAAGATCTGGGCAGGGTCCCATCGGTGAGCTCCTTCGGCAGGCAAGGCTGCGATGGCTGGGTCATGTAGCCCGCATGCCCAGCCACCGCATGCCGAAACAGCTTTTGTTTGGCAGGATTGAGGGGGCTAAGCGGGCGCGGCACGGGCTAGAGAAGAGATGGAGTGATGTGGTACAGGAGGACGTGGAGCTGAGTGGACTTGCCGATGACTGGTACCAGCGGTGTCAAGATCGGCCTCTGTGGAGGAGGCTCGTGAAGGATGCTACTGGGCAGTTGGAGGCAGTCGCCCTCCAACAACAACGGAGGACGGAGGAGCGACGCTCACAACAACGAGCGGAGCGCCAAGTGGCTAAAGCACAGCAGGTTGGCACAGTAGGGCGCACAGGTGGTGCATCAGCCAGTCATCTCAGTCAGTCGACCCGTGGCACCTGGGTCTGCCCCGTGACCTCCTGCCAGCGGGCGTTCGACACTTCACGTGGCCTCAGGGTGCACATAGCCTGGCACAAGCGTCGTGGTGACGTCAGCACCACTTAGTGGCGAATGGCGGTTGTTGTTGTTAGGGAGCGGTGGGTGTAGTGGTTAGCGCTACGCTGCGCTACGAACCTGGCGACCCGAGTTCGATTCCCGCTCACGGCCACCACCGCCACCACCACTCAGTGACAGCGATTATCTGAACCGGTACCTGGGCCTCCCCTAGGTCGACTCAGCCTCAAGTGAGTAGTAACCTGTAGCGGTGTAGTGCAGTGACCATCGCTGGGGCTGGGGGAGACAAAGGCGGCCGGGCGTGGTGGTGCTGGTGGCCACCCCCTCTGTGTAGCCACAGTGCCGGGAGCCTTCATAGACGCTGCTACTAACAGCACTTGCCCCTACAGCCCTGCTAGAGGCTACCTGGGGGATCTTTGTCTTTGCTACTAACAGGACTTGCCCCTACAGCCCTGCTAGAGGCTACCTGGGGGATCTTTGTCTTTGCTACTAACAGCACTTGCCCCTACAGCCCTGCTAGAGGCTACCTGGGGGAGCTTTGTCTTTGCTACTAACAGCCACTTGCCCCTACAGCCCTGCTAGAGGTTACCTGGGTGATCTTTGTCTTTGCTACTAATAGCACTTGCCCCTACAGCCCTGCTAGAGGCAGCATGGGCGGGGCTGCTTATGTTAATGTGGCCCATGCGCGTCGGCAGCATGGGCGGGGCAGCTTATGTTAATGTTGCCCAAGTGTGTCGGCAGCATGGGCGGGGTAACTTATGTAAATGAAGCCCAAGTTTGTCAGCAGGATGGGCGGGGCAGCTTATGTTAATGTCGCCCAAGTGTGTCAGCAGCATGGGCGGGGCAGCTTATGTTAATGTAGCCCAAGCGCGTCAGCAGCATGGGCGGGGCAGCTTATGTTAATGTAAGTGATGGGAGGAGTTGGAAATCAATGCACCTCGTTTTACACAATCATACTGCTGACGGTGCAGGTTGCTGCTAGTGGTGATGGTACTAGTGGGTAGTGATGGTACTGGTGGGTAGTGATGGTAATAGTGGGTAGTGATGGTAGTAGTGGGTAGTGATGGTGGTGGTGGTGGGCTTGCACCAGTAAAGGGCTACAGCTAGTAGTGATGGTAGTAGTGGGTAGTGATGGTACTAGTGGGTAGTGATGGTACTAGTGGGTAGTGATGGTACTAGTGGGTAGTGATAGTACTGGTGGTGGTGGGCTACCACCAATGAAGGACTACAGCTAGTGGTGATGGTAGTAGTGGGTAGTGATGGTACTGGTGGTGGTGGTGGTGAGCTACCACCAATGAAGGACTACAGCTAGTGGTGATGGTACTAGTGGGTAGTGATGGTACTGGTGGTGGTGGTGGGCTTGCACCAGTAAAGGGCTACTGCTAGTGGTGATGGTACTAGTGGGTAGTGATGGTACTGGTGGTGGTAGTGGGCTTGCACCAGTAAAGGGCTACTGCTAGTGGTGATGGTACTAGTGGGTAGTGATGGTACAGGTGGTGGTGGTGGTGGGCTACCACCAATGAAGGACTACAGCTAGTGGTGATGGTACTAGTGGGTAGTGATGGTACTGGTGGTGGTGGTGGGCTACCACCAATGAAGGACTACAGCTAGTGGTGATGGTACTAGTGGGTCGTGATGGTACTGGTGGTGGTGGTGGGCTACCACCAGTAAAGGGCTACTGCTGGTAGTGATGGTACTAGTGGGTAGTGATGGTACTGGTGGTGGTGGTTGGCTACCACCAATGAAGGACTACAGCTAGTGGTGATGGTACTAGTGGGTAGTGATGGTACTGGTGGTGGTGGGCTTGCACCAATGAAGGACTGCCAGGTCTAAAATGGAAACATTACAGCCATTTGACTTGAACTGGTTGATAATGTCCCATCATGTCGGTTGAAATTGTGTCTATGTCTGTATATGTTGATGGCTTCATGAACGAATCTTTGTTGATAGCCAGTGGGTTCATATTCTTGGTTCTTTCGGTAAAGTCACAAACCACGTTAGAAGGGAAACAATAAAATAATAAAAATATAAAACAATACAATTCTCACGACGTTTCGACTTCACAAGAAGCAATCATCATCAGCTGTGAAAACCACAGCAAGAACATTTGAAAAAAGTGGCGGTGTTTTTTCAAATGTTTTTGCTGTGGTTTTCACAGCTGATGATGATTGCTGCTTTGTGTTGCAGTCGAAACGTCGTGAGAATTTTATTGTTTTATTTTTATTTATTATTTTATTGTTTCCCTTCTAACGTGGTGGTGACTTTACCGAAAGAACCAAGAATAATAATTTTATTGTTTTACAATAATTTTATTGTTTTATATATTTTTATTATTTTATTGTTTCCCTTCTAACGTGGTGGTGACTTTACTGAAAGAACCACGAATAATAATTTTATTGTTTTACAATAATATTGTTTTATATTTTTATTATTTTATTGTTTCCCTTCTAACGTGGTGGTGACTTTACCGAAAGAACCAAGAATAATAATTTTATTGTTTTATATATTTATTATTTTATTGTTTCCCTTCTATAACGTGGTGGTGACTTTACCGAAAGAACCAAGAATGTGAATCCCTGCAGTCACGAAAGCTTTAAACCGAAATTTAGCCGGTGGGTTTGCAAAGCACCTTCCTCTTAGAGAAATCAATTTCGTGCGTGCCAGCCGCATCAGCCACGGCAGAAGTATTGGTCCTAGGGGCCGTCCCATAAATGACGTCACGCACCTGGGGGTGCTTGGGGGGGGTCAGACATTTATGACGATGCGTGACGAGAGGGGGGGGGGGTGAGAAATGTGACGTCACATCAAAATGCGAAACTTTATCAATAAATACAGACAACACGTTCTACTTGAATTAAGTTGACTTTTTTTAAAATAAATGTTTTTCTTAAATTTTGATTTAAAGCTTTCGTGACTGCAGTGATTCATATTCTTGGCTCTTTCGGTAAAGTCACGTTGAAGGGAAACAATAAAATAATAAAATATATACAATATATATGTTTTATATATACTTTATTATATAAAGTAATAAAATATATAAAATAAATATGTTTTATATATTTTATTGTTTCTTTTCAACGTGACTTTGAAGGGAAACAACAATAAAATAATAAAAAAATATATAAAATATATGTTTTATATATACTTTGTTATATAAAATAATAAAATATATATAATATATGCTTTATATATGTTTTATTATTTTATTGTTTCCCTTCAACGTGACTTTACCGAAAGAGCTAAGATAATAAATGTTTGTCTCCCACAACATCAGAGTGCGGCGCCTACGTTAAATACGCAACTACGATGGCAATCGTTTTAAAGCGATTTGAAGCACCTTTTATTTTCAAAATGTAAATATGGTTTTGGTGGGGGGCGGAGCCGGTTCACGCCCACTTCACGTCATTCATATGCAGTCTCCGCCCCCTTGCCTCAAGGTTGATTGACGTGGAGTGGGCGTGGTTCATACCCATACATGGGCATGGGCGGGGGGCACGAGGTTGATTGACGTAAAGTGGGCGTGGGCATACCCATATATGGGCAAATGGGGGGGGGGCACGATTATGATTGACGTAGAGTGGGCGGGGTTTATACCCATACATGGGCGGGGGCGGGCACGAGGTTGATTGACGTAAAGGGGCGCTAGGCATACCCATACATGGGCAAATAGGGGGGGGGGGGGCACGATGATGATTGACGTGGAGTGGGCGGGGTTTATACCCATACATGTGCACGAGGGGGCGTGGCTCAAAAATGATAGCCGTGGAGTAGGCGTGGTTTATGTCCATATATGGGCATGAGGAGGGCGGGACTTTGAGGTTGATTGACGTGAGACTCCTCCCCCTTCTCGTCGTTCTAAGATGGCGACTCTGTGAAGAGAGAAGCCGTGGTTCGCGATTTGGTAACGGAAGCCGCCACGATTTTTACTTTTTAACTTCTTTAAACTTCTTTAATTAAACAAAAAATGTGAACGTAGAACTAATGAAAGTTAAGTCGTTGGTTTTTTTGTATTTTGTCTTAATTTTAAAGCGAAAAAATTCGCTTTAAAATTTGTTGAAATCCCCTCACGACTACTTTCACCACTCTCACCATCACCATCATCACCACTCTCACCATCATCATCATCATCATCACTCTCACCATCATCACTCTCACCATCACCACTCTCACCATCACCACCATCATCACCACTCTCACCATCACCATCATCACTCTCACCATCATCATCATCACTCTCACCCTCATCATCACCATCACTCTCACCATCATCACTCTCACCCTCACCACCATCATCACCACTCTCACCACCACTCACCACCATCATCACCACCATCACTCTCACCATCACCATCATCATCACTCTCACCATCACCATCATCACCCTCATCATCACTCTCACCATCACCACTCTCACCCTCACCACCATCACTCTCACCATCACTCACCACCATCATCACCACCATCACCCTCACCCTCACCACCATCATCACCACTCTCACCATCACCATCATCATCACTCTCACCATCACCACTCTCACCCTCACCACCATCATCATCACTCTCACCACCACTCACCACCATCATCACCACCATCACTCTCACCACCACCATCACCATCATCACCACTCTCACCCTCATCATCATCACTCTCACCCTCACCACCATCATCACTCTCACCATCACTCTCACCACTCTCACCCTCACCACCATCACTCTCACCACTCTCACCATCATCACCCTCATCATCATCACTCTCACCACCACTCACCACCCTCATCACCATCATCACTCTCACCCTCACCACCATCATCATCACTCTCACCACCACTCACCACCATCATCACCACCATCACCCTCACCACCACCATCATCACCACTCTCACCCTCATCATCATCACTCTCACCATCATCACTCTCACCCTCACCACCATCATCATCACTCTCACCATCACTCTCACCACTCTCACCCTCACCACCATCACTCTCACCACTCTCACCATCATCACCCTCATCATCATCACTCTCACCACCACTCACCACCATCATCACCACCATCACTCTCACCCTCACCACCATCATCACCACCACCATCACCCTCACCACTCTCACCCTCATCACCATCATCACCACTCTCACCATCATCACTCTCACCCTCACCACCATCACTACTCTCACCACCACACTCACCATCACCACCCTCACCACCATCATCACTCTCACCACTCTCACCCTCACCACCATCACCACTCTCACCACCATCATCACTCTCACCACTCTCACCCTCACCACCATCACCACTCTCACCACCACTCTCACCATCACCACCCTCACCCTCACCATCATTATCATCACCACCATCACCATCACTCTCACCATCATCACCACCACTCTTATCACCATCATCACCATCACTCTCACCATCACCACTCTCATCACCACTCTCACCACTCTCACCCTCACCACTCTCACTCTCACCACTCTCACTCTCACCACTCTCACCATCATCACCCTCACCACTCTCACCATCACCACTCTCACCCTCACCACTCTCACCACTCACCATCACCACCATCATCACCATCATCCCCACTCTCACCATCACCACCATCACTCTCACCATCACTCTCACCATCACCACTCTCACCCTCATCATCACCATCACTCTCACCATCACCACCACTCTCATCACCCTCACCACTCACCCTCAACACCATCATCACCACCACCATTACTCTCACCACCATCACCACTCTCACCACTCTCACCACCATCATCATCACTCACCACCATCACCACTCTAACCATCACCACTCTAACCATCACCACTCTCACCATCACTCTCACCACCACCATCACTCTCACCACTCTCACCATCACCCTCACCACTCACCACCATCATCACCATCACTCTCACCATCACCACTCTCACCATCACCACTCTCACCATCACCACCACCATCATCACCATCACTCTCACCACCGTCACCACTCTCACCCTCACCACCATCACCACTCTCACCCTCACCACTCTCACCACCATCATCACCATCACTCTCACCATCACCACTCTCACCATCATCACCATCACTCTCACCACTCTCACCATCACCACGCTCACCATCATCACCATCATCACCATCACTCTCACCACTCTCACCATCACCACTCTCATCCTCACCACTCTCACCATCATCACCATCACTCTCACCACTCTCACCATCACCACTCTCACCACTCTCACCACCATCATCACCATCACCACTCTCACCATCATCACCATCACCACTCTCATCACCATCACCACTCTCACCATCACCCTCACCACTCTCACCACCATCATCACTCTCACCATCATCACCACCACTGTCACCACCATCACCACTCTCACCACCATCACCACTCTCACCACCATCACCACTCACCACCATCATCATCACCACTCACCACCCTCACAACTCACCACCATCACCACTCACCACCATCACCACCATCATCACCACTCTCACCATCATCACCCTCACCACTCTCACCACCATCACCACCATAACCATCACCCTCACCACCATCACCACCATAACCATCACCCTCACCACTCTCACCACTCTCACCCTCACCACCATCACCACCCACCACCATCATCACCACCACCATCATCACCACTGTCACCATCACCACTCTCACCATCATCACCCTCACCACTCTCACCATCACCACCATCACCCTCACTACTCTCACCATCACCACTCATCACCCTCACCACTCTCACCATCACCACCATCATCACCACTCTCACCCTCACCACTCTCACCACCATCACCACCATCATCACCGCCATCACCACCATCACCACTCTCACCATCACTCTCACCATCACTACCATCACCATCACTACTCTCACCACCATCATCACCACCATCACCATCACCACTCTCACCATCACCACTCTCACCGTCATCACCACTCTCACCACCACCATCACCCTCACCCTTCTCATCATCACCATCACCACTCTCACCCTCACCACTCTCACCATCACCACCATCATCACCACTCTCACCATCACCACCATCACCCTCCCCACTCTCACCATCACTCTCACCACCATCACTACCATCACCATCACTACTCTCACCATCACCACCATCACCCTCCCCACTCTCACCACCATCACTCTCACCACCATCACTACCATCACCACCATCACCACCGTCATCACCGTCATCACTCTCACCCTCACCACCATCATCACCACTCACCACCATCACCACTCACCACCATCATCACCATCACCACCATCATCACCATCCTCACCACCACCATCAGCACCATCACCACTCTCACCATCATCACTCTCACCACCATCGCCACCATCACCATTCTCACCACCATTACCACTCTCACCACCATCACCACCACTATCATCACCACCCTCACCACCATCACCACCACCACCCTCACCACCACCATCGTCATCTTAATTCTTCCTCCGCGGTGTTAAACGCAACGCCACAATGTATCGATCCCGTCCAGGGAGAGAGATGGGGGGGGGGAGGGAGGTTTACTGATAAAGTAAATGTAATAATTAAACTTAATGTAATTAACGCTACTAACTACGACAACAACAACAATAATAATAAACTACTTCAATAATAAACTACTATAAACTGCCGACGGGTTTGCTCGGCGAGAGAGGTCGGAGACGATTTTTTAAAGTTTTTTTTGTTTAAATATCAAAGTCGCTCTTTTCTCGCTCCTACCGCGGCGCGAGAGACTGTACAGTGCACGGAGGGGGGTTACTGTACGCGCACTGTACCAGACGCCACTACGCGCACTGTACCAGACGCCACTACGCGCACTGTACCAGACGCCACTGTACTAAACAACACTAATAAACACACCGCACTGTACACACCACCAACCACTGTACGCGCACTGTATGCAATTGCGCGTACAGTAGCGTCACGGACGCCATCGGCACTGCGGTACAGTGCGTACTGTACTACAGTGCGTACTGTGCCGCAGTGAACAGTTCGAGCGCACTGTGCCTTGTACAGTGAGGCAGGTATTGTGGGTAACTGGTGATGGTGGTGGTGTTGATGGGGTGTTGATGGGGGTGATGATGGGGGTGTTGATGGTGGTTGTGTTAGTGGTGATGATGATGATGGTAGTGATGTTAGTAGTATTGATGGTGGTGGTGTTGATGGGGGTGATGATGGGGTTGTTGATGGGAGTGATGATGGTGGTTGTGTTAGTGGTGATGATGGTAGTGATGTTAGTAGTGATGGGGGTGATGGTCGTGGTTGTGGTGATGATGATGGTGGTGGTAATGATGGTGGTGATGGTGGTAATGATGGGGGTGATGATGATGGTGGTGATGATGGGGTTGGTGGTGATGGTGGTGATGTTGGTGATAGTAGTAGTAGATGGTGGTGATGATGATGGTGTTGATGTTGGTTGCGATTGTGAAAATATTGGGAGTTAATGTTTGTGTAGAAATTCTTTCGCACCGTATGTAACCAACTGTGTTAATCTGGGTCTTTGTAGGTCTCTATGGGTGTCTCTGTGCGTCTCTGTGTGTCTCTGTCTGTCTCTCTGTGCGCCTCTCTGTGGGTCTGTGTGTCTCTGTGTCTCTCTCTGTGTCTCTCTCTGTGTCTCTGTGTGTCTCTGTGTGTCTCTCTCTGTCTCAGCATGTCTCTGTGTCTCAGCGTGTCTCTCTCTGTGTCTCTGTATGTCTCTGCGTGTCTCTGCGTCTGTGTCTCTGTGCGTCTCTCTGTGTCTCTCTCTGTGCCTTTGTGTCTCTCTGTGTGTCTCAGCGTGTCTCAGCGTGTCTCTCTGTGCGTCTCTGTCTCTCTGTGTCTCTCTGTGTGTGTCTCTCTCTGTGTCTCTCTGTGTGTCTCTCTGTGTGTCTCTCTCTGTGTCTCAGCGTGTCTCTCTCTGTCTCTGTATGTCTCTGTGTCTCTGCGTCTCTCCCTCTGTGTCTCTGTGTGTCTCAGCGTATCTCTCTCTGTGTCTCTGTATGTCTCTCTCTCTGTCTCTGTATGTCTCAGCATGTCTCTCTCTGTGTGTCTCTGTGTCTCTTTGTGTCTCAGCGTGTCTCTCTCTTGTCTCAGTGTGTCTCTGTGTCTCTCGGCGTGTCTCTGCGTGTCTCTCTCTGTGTCTCTGTATGTCTCTGTGTGTCTCTGCGTGTCTCTGTCTGTCTTTGTATGTCTCTGTTTGTCTCTCTCTGTGTCTCTGTATGTCTCTGTGTGTCTCTGTGTGTCTCTCTCTGTCTTTCTCTGTCTCTCTGTGTGTCTCTGTGTCTCTGTGTGTCTCTGCGTGCCTCTCTCTGTGTCTCTGTATGTCTCAGCGTGTCTCTCTCTGTGTCTCTGTATGTCTGTGTGTGTGTCTCTGTGTGTCTCTCTCTGTCTCTCTCTGTGTGTCTCTCTGTGTTTCTGTGTCTCTCTCTGTGTCTCTTTGTGTCTCTCTCTGTGTCTCTCTCTGTGTGTCTCTGTGTGTCTCTGTGTGTCTCTCTGTGTCTCTTTGTGTCTCTCTCTGTGTCTCTGTGTTTCTCTCTGTGTCTCTCTCTGTGTCTCTGTCTCTTTGTGTCTCTCTCTGTGTCTCTGCGTGTCTCTCTCTGTCTCTCTGTGTCTCTCTGTGTCTCTCTCTGTGTCTCAGCATGTCTCTCTGTGTCTCTGCGTGTCTCTCTGTGTCTGTCTCTGTGTCTCTCTGTCTCTCTGTGTCGAAGCGTGTCTCTCTCTGTGTCTCTCTCTGTGTCTCTGTGTCTCAGCGTGCCTCTCTCTGTGTCTCTCTCTGTGTCGCTCTGTGTCTCTCTCTGTGTATCTTGTCGTGTCTCTGTGTCTCAGCGTGCCTCTCTCTGTGTCGCTCTGTCTCTCTCTGTGTCTCTTGGCGTGTCTCTGTGTCTCAGCGTGCCTCTCTCTGTGTCTCTGTGTCTCTCTCTGTGTCGCTCTGTCTCTCTGTGTCGCTCTGTCTCTCTGTGTCGCTCTGTCTCTCTCTGTGTCTCTCTGTGTCTCTGTGTCTCTCTCTGTGTCGCTCTGTCTCTCTCTGTGTCTCTCTGTGTCTCTCTCTGTCTCTCTGTGTCTCTCTCTGTGTCTCTGTGTCTCAGCGTGCCTCTCTCTGTGTCTCTCTCTCTGTGTCTCTCTCTGTGTCTCTCTCTTTGTCTCAGCGTGCCTCTCTCTGTGTCTCTCTGTGTCTCTCTCTGTGTCTCTTGGCGTGTCTCTGTGTCTCAGCGTGCCTCTCTCTGTGTCTCTCTCTGTGCCTCTGTGTCTCTCTGTCTCTCTGTGTTTCTCTCTGTGTCTCTTTGTCTCAGCGTGCCTCTCTCTGTGTCTCTCTCTGTGCCTCTCTCTGTGTCTCTGTGTCTCTCTGTCTCTCTGTGTCTCTCTCTGTGTCTCTTTGTCTCAGCGTGCCTCTCTCTGTGTCTCTCTCTGTGCCTCTCTCTGTGTCTCTCTCTGTGTCTCTCTCTGTGTCTCTCTGTCTCTCTCTGTGTCTCTGTGTCTCAGCGTGCCTCTCTCTGTGTCTCTCTCTGTGTCTCTCTCTGTGTATCTCTGTGTCGCTCTGTCTCTCTCTGTGTCGCTCTGTCTCTCTCTATGTCTCTCTGTCTCTCTCTGTGTCTCTTGGCGTGTCTCTGTGTCTCAGCGTGTCTCTCTCTGTGTCTCTCTCTGTGTCTCTCTGTGTCTCTCTCTGTGTCTCTCTGTGTCGCTCTGTGTCGCTCTGTCTCTCTCTGTGTCTCTCTCTGTGTCGCTCTGTCTCTCTCTGTGTCTCTCTCTGTGTCTCTCTCTGTGTCTCTGTGTCTCTCTCTGTGTCTCTCTGTGTCTCTCTGTGTCTCTCTCTGTCTCTCTCTCTGTGTCTCTCTCTGTGTCGCTCTGTGTCGCTCTGTCTCTCTCTGTGTCTCTCTCTGTGTCGCTCTGTCTCTCTCTGTGTCTCTCTCTGTCTCTCTCTGTGTCTCTCTGTCTCTCTCTCTGTGTCTCTCTGTGTCGCTCTGTCTCTCTCTGTGTCTCTCTCTGTGTCTCTCTGTGTCTCTGTGTCTCTCTCTGTGTCTCTCTGTGTCTCTTGGCGTGTCTCTGTTTGACCTCCCTCGATGTTTTCTGTCTCGCAGAGAGAGAGAGAGAGGGGGAGACACGGGGTGGTGATGGCGGAGGTGGCGGGCCCCACGGCGGAGGTGGCGAGCCCCACGGCGGAGGTGGCGAGCCCCACGGCGGAGGTGGCGAGCCCCACGGCGGAGGTGGCGAGCCCCACGACGGAGGTGGCGGAACCCACCGGAGATTAGAGCCCTGTCGCGTACGGTCCTCACGACGGAGGTGGAGGTGATCCCCGCGGCGGAGGAGGTGGTGATCCCCACGGCGGAGGAGAGTCCCCACGGCGGAGGAGAGCCCCACGGCGGAGAGGGGGACAGAGGGGGAGGAGCGGCAGTGGCCCAGCGCAGAGGAGGAGGAGGAACGCAGCAGCATGGCGGGTGAGAGGGGGGAGGGGGAGATGGGGGACAAAGGGGGGGGGGTGGTGTGGGTGATGGTAGTGGTGGTGATGGTGATGATAGTGGTAGTGATGATAGTCGTGGTGATGGTGGTGATGATAGTGGTAGTGATGGTAGTGATGGTGATGGTGGTGATGATAGTGGTGGTGATGGTGGTGATGATAGTGGTAGTGATGGTAGTGGTGGTAGTGTTGGTAGTGATGGTGATGATAGTGAAGATAGTGGTAGTGATGGATGTGATGGTGGTGATGGTGATGATAGTGGTAGTGATGGTGATGATGGTGCTGGTGGTGATGGTGATGATAGTGGTAGTGATGATAGTGGTAGTGTTGGTGGTGGTGATGGTGGTGGTGATGATGGTGATGATAGTGGTGGTGATGGTGGTGATGATAGTGGTAGTGATGGTAGTGGTGGTAGTGTTGGTAGTGATGGTAGTGATGGTGATGATAGTGGTAGTGATGCATGTGATGGAGGTGATGGTGATGGTGGTGATGGTGATGATAGTGGTAGTGATGGTGATGATGGTGCTGGTGATGATAGTGGTAGTGATGATAGTGGTAGTGTTGGTGGTGATGGTGGTGGTGATGATGGTGATGATAGTGGTAGGGATGGTAGTGGTGGTGATGGTGGTGATGATAGTGGTAGTGATGATAGTGATGGTGATGGTAGTGGTGGTGATGGTAGTGATGGTAGTGATTGTGATGATGGTGATGATAGTGGTAGTGATGGTAGTGCTGGTGTTGATAGTAGTAGTGATGGATGTGATGATAGTGGTAGTGATGATAGTGATGGTAGTGGTAGTGATGATAGTGGTAGTGATGGTAGTGATTGTGATGATGGTGGTGATAGTGGTAGTGATGATAGTGATGGTGATGATGGTGATGATAGTGGTAGTGATGGTGGTGATAGTGGTAGTGATGGATGTGATGGTGGTGATGGTGATGGTGGTGATGGTGATGGTGGTGATGGTGTTGATAGTGGTAGTGATGGTGATGATGGTGCTGGTGGTGGTGATGGTGATGATAGTGGTAGTGATGATAGTGGTAGTGTTGGTGGTGATGGTGGTGGTGATGATGGTGATGATAGTGGTAGTGATGGTAGTGGTGGTGATGGTGGTGATGATAGTGGTAGTGATGATAGTGGTGATAGTGGTGGTGATGGTAGTGATGGTAGTGATTGTGATGATGGTGATGATAGTGGTAGTGATGGTGGTGATGGTGGTGATGATAGTGGTAGTGATGGATGTGATGGTAGTGTTGGTAGTGATGGTAGTGATGGTGATGGTGGTGATGATAGTGGTACTGATGGTGGTGATGGTGATGATAGTGGTAGTGATGATAGTGGTAGTGTTGGTGGTGATGGTGGTGGTGATGATGGTGATGATAGTGGTAGTGATGGTAGTGGTAGTGTTGGTGGTGATGGTGGTGGTGATGATGGTGATGATAGTGAAGATAGTGGTAGTGATGGATGTGATGGTGGTGATGGTGATGATAGTGATGGTAGTGATGGTGGTGATGGTGTTGATAGTGGTAGTGATGGTGATGATGGTGCTGGTGGTGATGGTGATGATTGTGGTAGTGATGATAGTGGTAGTGTTGGTGGTGATGGTGGTGGTGATAGTGGTGGTGATGGTGGTGATGATAGTGGTAGTGATGGTAGTGGTGGTAGTGTTGGTAGTGATGGTAGTGATGGTGATGATAGTGGTAGTGATGCATGTGATGGAGGTGATGGTGATGGTGGTGATGGTGATGATAGTGGTAGTGATGGTGATGATGGTGCTGGTGATGATAGTGGTAGTGATGATAGTGGTAGTGTTGGTGGTGATGGTGGTGGTGATGATGGTGATGATAGTGGTAGTGATGGTAGTGGTGGTGATGGTGGTGATGATAGTGGTAGTGATGATAGTGATGGTGATGGTAGTGGTGGTGATGGTAGTGATGGTAGTGATTGTGATGATGGTGATGATAGTGGTAGTGATGGTAGTGCTGGTGTTGATAGTAGTAGTGATGGATGTGATGGTAGTGATTGTGATGATGGTGATGATAGTGGTAGTGATGGTAGTGGTGGTGATGGTGATGATAGTGGTAGTGATGGTAGTGCTGGTGTTGATAGTGGTAGTGATGGATGTGATGGTGGTGATGGTGATGATGGTGATGATGGTGATGATAGTGGTAGTGATGGTAGTGCTGGTGGTGGTGATGGTAGTGATTGTGATGATGGTGATGATAGTGGTAGTGATGGTGGTGATGGTGTTGATAGTGGTAGTGATGGATGTTATAGTGGTGATGGTGGTGATAGTGATGATGGTGATGATAGTGGTAGTGATGGTAGTGATTTTGATGATGGTGATGATAGTGGTAGTGATGGTAGTGGTGGTGATGGTGGTGATGATAGTGGTAGTGATGATAGTGGCAGTGATGGTAGTGGTGGTGATGGTGGTGGTAGTGATGGTAGTGATGGTAGTGATGGTGATGATAGTGATGATAGTGGTAGTGATGGATGTGATGGTGGTGATGGTGGTGATGGTGATGATGGTGGTAGTGATGGTAGTGATTGTGATGATGGTGACGATAGTGGTAGTGATGGTAGTGATGGTGGTGATAGTAGTGATGATAGTGGTAGTGATGGTAGTGGTGGTGATGATAGTGGTTGTGATGGTAGCGATGGTGATGGTGGTGATAGTGGTAGTGATGATAGTGTTGGTGGTGATGGTGATGATAGTGATGATAGTGGTAGTGGTGGTAGTGATGGTGGTGATGGTGTTGGTAGTGATGGTGATGATGGTGATGATAGTGGTAGTGATGGTAGTGATGGTAGTGATAGTAGTGATGGTGATGATAGTGATGGTAGTGATGGTGATGATAGTGGTAGTGATGGTAGTGATGGTGATGATGGTGATGATAGTCTTAGTGATGATGGTAATGATGGTGGTGATGGTGGTGATGGTGGTGATAGTCTTAGTGATGATGGTAGTGATGGTGGTGATGGTGGTGATGGTGATGATAGTCTTAGTGATGATGGTAGTGATGGTGGTGATGGTGATGATAGTCTTAGTGATGATGGTAGTGATGGTGGTGATGGTGGTGATGGTGATGATAGTCTTAGTGATGATGGTAGTGATGGTGGTGATGGTGTTGGTGTTGGTGATGATGATGATGATGATAGTGGTAGTGATGATGGTAGTGATGGTGGTGATGGTGGTGATGGTGATGATAGTCTTAGTGTTGATGGTAGTGATAGTGGTGAAGGTGGTGATGGTGATGATAGTCTTAGTGATGATGGTAGTGATGGTGGTGATGGTGGTGGTGATGATAGTGGTAGTGATGATGGTGATGATGGTGATGTTAGTGGTAGTGATGGTAGTGATGGTGGTGATGGTGATGATAGTCTTAGTGATGATGGTAGTGATGGTGGTGATGGTGGTGATGGTGATGATAGTCTTAGTGATGATGGTAGTGATGGTGATGATAGTCTTAGTGATGATGGTAGTGATGGTAGTGATGGTGGTGATGGTGATGATAGTCTTAGTGATGATGGTAGTGATGGTGGTGATGGTGATGATATTCTTAGTGATGATGGTAGTGATGGTGGTGATGGTGGTGATGGTGATGATAGTCTTAGTGATGATGTTAGTGATGGTGGTGATGATAGTCTTAGTGATGATGGTAGTGATGGTGGTGATGGTGTTGGTGTTGGTGATGATGGTGATGATAGTGGTAGTGATGATGGTAGTGATGGTGGTGATGGTGGTGATGGTGATGATAGTCTTAGTGATGATGGTAGTGATAGTGGTGAAGGTGGTGATGGTGATGATAGTCTTAGTGATGATGGTAGTGATGGTGGTGATGGTGGTGGTGATGATAGTGGTAGTGATGATGGTGATGATGGTGATGTTAGTGGTAGTGATGGTAGTGATGGTGGTGATGGTGATGATAGTCTTAGTGATGATGGTAGTGATGGTGGTGATGGTGATGTTGGTGGTAGTGATGGTAGTGATGGTGGTGGTGGTGATGATAGTCTTAGTGATGATGGTAGTGATGGTGGTGATGGTGATGTTGGTGGTAGTGATGGTAGTGATGGTGGTGATGGTGATGATAGTCTTAGTGATGATGGTAGTGATGGTGGTGATGGTGGTGATGGTGATGATAGTGGTAGTGATGGTGGTGATGGTGATGATAGTCTTAGTGATGATGGCAGTGATGGTGGTGATTGTGGTGATGGTGATGATAGTCTTAGTGATGATGGTAGTGATGGTGGTGATGGTGGTGATGGTGGTGATGGTGATGATAGTCTTAGTGATGATGGTAGTGATGGTGGTGATGGTAGTGATGGTAGTGATGGTGGTGATGGTGATGATAGTCTTAGTGATGATGGTAGTGATGGTGGTGATGGTGGTGATGGTGATGATAGTCTTAGTGATGATGGTAGTGATGGTGGTGATGGTGGTGATGGTGATGATAGTCTTAGTGATGATGGTAGTGATGGTGGTGATGGTGGTGATGGTAGTGATGGTGGTGATGGTGGTGATGGTGGTGATGGTAGTGATGGTGATGATGGTAGTGATGGTGGTGATGGTGGTGATGGTAGTGATTGTAATGATGGTAGTGATGGTGGTGATGGTGGTGATGGTGGTGATAGTCTTAGTGATGATGGTAGTGATGGTGGTGATGGTGATGATAGTCTTAGTGATGATGGTAGTGATGGTGGTGATGGTGGTGATGGTGGTGATGGTGGTGATAGTCTTAGTGATGATGGTGGTGATGGTGGTGGTGGTGGTGATGGTGATGGTGATGATAGTCTTAGTGATGATGGTAGTGATGGTGGTGATGGTGGTGATGGTGGTGATGATGGTGGTGATGGTGGTGATGGTGGTCATGGTGATGGTGGTGATGGTGGTGATGGTGGTGATGGTGTTGGTGATGTTTGTGGTAGTGATGGTGGTGATGGTGATGATGGTGGTGATGGTGGTGGTGATGGTGATGGTGGTGATGGTGGTGGTGGTGATGGTGATGGTGGTGATGGTGGTAATGATGGTGGTGATGGTGGTGATGGTGATGATAGTCTTAGTGGTGATGGTGATGGTGGTAGTGATGGTGGTGATGATGGTGATGGTGGTAGTGATGGTGGTAGTGATGGTGGTAGTGATGGTGGTGATGGTGGTGATGGTAGTGATGGTGGTGGTGATGGTGTTGGTGATGGTGGTGATGGTGGTGATGGTGGTGATGGTGTTGGTGATGGTGGTGATGGTGGTGATGGTAGTGATGATGGTGATGGTGGTGATGGTGGTGATGGTAATGATGGTGATGGTGGTGATGGTGTTGGTGATGGTGGTGATGGTGATGATAGTCTTAGTGATGATGGTGGTGATGGTGGTGATGGTGGTGATGGTAGTGATGGTGGTGATGGTGGTGATGGTGGTGGTGATGGTGATGATAGTCTTAGTGATGATGGTGGTGATGGTGGTGATGGTGGTGATGATGGTGGTGATGGTGGTGATGGTGGTGGTGGTGATTGTGGCGATGGTGGTGATGGTGGTGATGGTGTTGGTGATGTTTGTGGTAGTGATGGTGGTGATGGTGATGATGGTGGTGATGGTGGTGATGGTGGTGGTGATGGTGATGGTGGTGATGGTGGTGGTGATGGTGGTGGTGATGGTGGTAGTGATGGTGGTGATGGTGGTGATGGTCTTAGTGGTGATGGTGATGGTGGTAGTGATGGTGGTGATGGTAGTGATGGTGGTGATGGTGGTGATGGTGGTAGTGATGGTGGTGATGCTGGTGATGGTGGTGATGGTGGTGATGGTAGTGATGGTGGTGATGGTGGTGATGGTAGTGATGGTGATGGTAGTGATGGTAGTGATGGTGGTGATGGTAGTGATGGTGGTGATGGTGGTGATGGTAGTGATGGTGGTGATGGTGGTGATGGTAGTGATGGTGATGGTGGTGATGGTAGTGATGGTAGTGATGGTGATGGTGGTGATGGTAGTGATGGTAGTGATGGTGATGGTAGTGATGGTGGTGATGGTGGTGATGGTGGTGATGATAGTCTTAGTGATGATGGTGGTGATGGTGGTGATGGTGGTGATGGTGGTGGTGATAGTCTTAGTGATGATGGTAGTGATGGTGGTGATGGTGGTGATGATGGTGATGGTGGTAGTGATGGTGGTGGTGATAGTCTTAGTGATGATGGTAGTGATGGTGGTGATGATGTTGGTGGTAGTGATGGTGGTGATGGTGATGATAGTCTTAGTGGTGATGGTGGTGATGGTGGTGGTGATGGTGATGTTGGTGGTGGTGATGGTGATGGTGGTGTTGGTGTTGGTGATGGTGGTGATGGTGTTGGTGATGGTGATGTTGGTGGTGGTGATGGTGGTAGTGTTGGTGGTGATGGTGGTGATGGTGTTGGTGGTGATGGTGGTGGTGATGGTGATGTTGGTGGTGGTGATGGTGGTGATGGTGATGGTGGTGATGGTGATGATGGTGGTGATGGTGATGGTGGTGATGGTGGTGATGGTAGTGATGGTGATGATGGTGATGGTGGTGATGGTGATGGTGGTGATGGTGTTGGTGATGTTTGTTTGTAGACTCGTCCAGCAGCGTTCTGTCTGCAATGCCATCCGACTCGGAGAGCAGTGGATCAGTCTCTAGCCTGGGTAACCCTCACCACTCACTCACACTCACTCACCACTCACTCACCACTCACTCACCACTCACTCACTCACCACTCACTCACCACTCACTCACCACTCACTCACTCACCACTCACTCACCACTCACTCACTCACCACTCACTCACCACTCACTCACCACTCACTCACTCACCACTCGCTCACCACTCACTCACTCACCACTCACTCACCACTCACTCACTCACTCACCACTCACTCACCACTCACTCACTCACCACTCACTCACCACTCACTCACTCACCACTCACTCACTCACACACTCACTCACACACTCACTCACATACTCACTCACACTCACCCACTCACTCACACACTCACTCACTCACTCACCCACTCACTCATACACTCACTCACTCACATGCTCACCCACTCACACACTCAATCACCACTCACTTACTCACCCACTCACTCACTCCCTCTCCACTCACTCAGCACTCACTCCCTCTCCACTCACTCACCACTCACTCACCACTCACTCACCACTCACTCACTCACTCACACACTCACTCACTCACCACTCACTCACCACTCACTCACCACTCACTCACCACTCACTCACACACTCACTCACACACTCACTCACTCACCACTCACTCACTACTCACACACTCACTTACTCACTACTCACACACTCACTCACTCACTCACCACTCACTCACCACTCACTCACACACTCACCACTCACTCACTCACCACCCACTCACTCACCACTCACTCACCACTCACCCACCACTCACTCACCACTCACCACTCACTCACCACTCACTCACACACTCACCACTCACTCACTCACCACCCACTCACTCACCACTCACTCACACACTCACTCACACACTCACTCACCACTCACTCACCACTCACTCACACACTCACACACTCACTCACCACTCACTCACTCACCACTCACTCACACACTCACTCACACACTCACTCACACACTCACTCACCACTCACTCAACACTCACTCACACACTCACTCACACACTCACTCACCACTCACTCACTCACTCACCACTCACACACTCACTACTCACACACTCACTCACTCACCACTCACTCACCACTCACTCACTCACTCACCACTCACCACTCACTCACACACTCACTCACCACTCACTCACTCACCACTCACTCACTCACCACTCACTCACCACTCACTCACCACTCACTCACACACTCACTCACACACTCACTCACCACTCACTCACCACTCACTCACACACTCACTCACCACTCACTCACTCACTCACCACTCACCACTCTCTCACTCACACACTCACTACTCACACACTCACTCACTCACCACTCACTCACTCACCACTCACTCACCACTCACTCACCACTCACTCACCACTCACCACTCACTCACCACTCACTCACTCACCACTCACTCACCACTCACTCACCACTCACTCACTCACCACTCACTCACCACTCACTCACTCACCACTCACTCACTCACCACTCACTCACCACTCACTCACCACTCACTCACCACTCACTCACTCACCACTCACTCACCACTCACTCACTCACACACTCACCACTCACTCACACACTCACCCACTCACTCACACACTCACTCACATACTCACTCACACTCACCCACTCACTCACACACTCACTCACTCACTCACCCACTCACTCATACACTCACTCACTCACATGCTCACCCACTCACACACTCAATCACCACTCACTTACTCACCCACTCACTCACTCACTCACACACTCACTCCCTCTCCACTCACTCACCACTCACCACTCACTCACCACTCACTCACCACTCACTCACTCACCACTCACTCTCCACTCACTCAGCACTCACTCACCACTCACTCACCACTCACTCACCACTCACTCACTCACTCACACACCCACTCACTCACCACTCACCACTCACTCACCACTCACTCACCACTCACTCACCACTCACTCACACACTCACTCACACACTCACTCACTCACCACTCACTCACTACTCACACACTCACTCACTCACTACTCACACACTCACTCACTCACCACTCACTCACCACTCACTCACACA